CGCACTAGGTTCGCAGAAATAACCCGGAAATATGGTTCTGTCGAAAATGTACGGGGTGTCCCAATTACGGGCGAAAATCTGAAAATGTCCATTAGCGTTAACTGACAAACTGAAAAATGACATTCAAAGCTACAAAAAACGACCTTGACGTTGGGCGCCTGGCTATATACGGATTTTTCACGCGATGTCCCTCCGAAACGATCCTTTCCGGCCTGTTAATCGTCGACGGTAAAAAGCGTGCCAGGTTTCGTAACCCGGAGAAAAAATTACCCGCCAAGAAACGCAATTCTCGCCTTGACTCGCAATACTTTTACCCACTTAAGAGTCGATCCAATAACGATTTAATTGTGAACGAATTCGGGGCCGTCGCCGTCGCGGCTGCTGCTGCGGACCACCAGACGTATAGATCAGTATCTCTGACGATTGTTTTGACATTGGAATGCGCCAGGCCGTGACGTAACACGATATTGGGAGTAAGAAACGGGACCATTAAACGGTGGTCAACTACCTAAAAATTATATCGAAAAGTAGTTTTAAAGCTAGGGAGGGAAAACTAAACAAACTTAATAAGGGTCCTTTGTTGACATTTCGAAAAGCATCTTCTCCGGAGCTTTACCCAAACTTAAATTTAACTTAAATATGTAGATTGAGCTCTGAAGAAGCCAACAGGATGATTGGCGAAACGTCAGTAAATTTGACTCAACGACAACCAACGCGGGAGGAATCCAGAAGTTGTAAAGTGATGATCCATAATCCATATTCCTTTGCTGAAATTCTAAATTTATTCGTAATACATGGGCAGTGAAAGGTGTATCTATCAAGGAAAATTTTCTGGAAAGCCGTGAGAGTTTGAGTGAAGTAAGGGAAATATTGTCAATGTGTTAGATATGAAGAAGATTCGGGTATTTAAAGAAATTTCACAGATCTAATACCGTATCCACTTTCCGTCAAGAAGATTTCGCCCGGCGTACAAAATGTTGCCAGATATTCCTAATTAATAACCCAAAAAGACCCAGTTTAACAACAGTATCTATTTTCTTTTTCATAAAACTTCTTATGGGTGCTATACTTCGACCATAAATGTAGTTCTTTTACAACCGACCCCGTCATTTGCCTACTGTTTGTTAGTCGAAAACCGTAGCCACTTATAGAACCCCCTGCAGAACAGACACTTTACCTGTAAATATTCCAGGACCGTCCTAGGTATTTATCTTTTTTTCTTCAAAAAAAGTACGCAACACTCTTTGGCTTCTTGGGTTAAAATACTATTCAATATATAAGCGTAGTAGATTATGCGCCTAATTAGATAAGCGTGTTGCTCATTAAAAACTCGCGAAGTGCAAACATTTTCCCTACAGTTGCTGCTACTTATTCTGAATATTTTGTAAAATTGTAAATATTCAAAACAATATGTTTAGCATCCGAAGACAAATGGATCCTTTTTTTTTATTTGATGAGGTAGTTAGTCTTCTAAATTGTGATTAGGTTCGGCTATCCTCTCCACTCCGTCTTCAAATTCTGCGTTGTTATCCATCTAACGAGGGAACATCTGCTTCATTCCACGGTCTCCACATTTTAAAGTGTTAAAATACAGGAGCCTTCAAAAAATACTTAATTGTAACGGTCCATGTCAGACAAGACCTACTTAATGTAGAATAAACATCTGCTGGCATACTTAATACTAAATACAAGCAATAAATGCACTATATTTTTGGTGGGGTTATAGTCGTTTTAAATAATCTATAAAGAGCAGGTACTAATAGGTTCTTAATTATACTTGTAGTGTTATAAATTTAAAACGACAGTTGGTCATATATATTTCACTTTATTAATCTCCATAGTTTGAAACAAATTTTGTTTGTGCATTTCTGAATTGAAATGAATGGCACAGTTAAAATTTTATTTTTATACGCTCGTTTATATTTAACGCGACCAAAATTATATTCTTTAATTAAATTACACAAACATCATCGGTTAAACTTTCAAGAAGATTAAGAAAGGTTGAAGAATCTAGATATGTGATTAAAAATTAGATCAACCTAGTCAACGGGGTTGAACAATGTAAATTTAATAGAGGAGCATTCAAGGAATATTTCGTGGTTAATATAGGAAAATATGAAAAGCATTAGGTTTTTGTGAGACCTAAATATGGGCAATTGAATTCAACAACTATAGTTTTTTCTAGAATTTAATATAGTTATGGTTTTTTATACAGACGTTTTCCTTTTACGTTAAAACTTTCTGAGAGGAGTGTGCAGAAAATAAATTTGTAGCGATCAAATTGAAACTTCTGACGACAATTTTTTGGCAAAGTAAGGTAACACAATTATCTTAATTTGGGGAAATTGATACTAGATACTAGAAATGTGAGTGTTTTCTAACTGACTGTCAATAATTAAGGGCTCCATTTTGGGGGCCTAAATGTCTTTACTTTTGATATACAGGGTGGTAATGTTTTCAAAAATAGAATACATTTTTCTTAATATCTGCAATACCATTTTGTATATTTTAATGAAACTTGGCACACATGTACTATGTATCAAGATGCATTACTTAGTGTGCCAAATACACCAGTAGGGTCGTAAATGTAATTTGTCGATTTTGGACAATCCGACGTAACGGTTTTGGTTTAAAAAAATTAGAACAGCATGAGGAGAAATTAGTTTTTATTTTTAAATAATGCAAAGTCATTATTTTTTATGAAAATCAATGGCTGTCAATGAACAAATAATATCAAAATACTTGTTTCAGTCAACCTTCTATGTACACCGTGTACCAAATGAGACGATCCACTATACGGTCTGAAAACTCATAGGAGATGCGAAAAGAAGTTTCGTCCAAAAGTCTCTTAGAATCTCCTGAAAAGCGCCCTTCCGGTATCAACTTTGTTATTTTAAGTGGAGCATCCTTTACATTTACACATTTTTGGAATTCTGTGTTAAAATAAAGGTCACTTTCTTCTTCTATTCGAATGTTGCGTAGTTTAGTCAGACATTGTGTTTTTTTTATGACATTAGAGGTATTGCAACGAAAATTGGATCACAGACTAAAGAGATGATACTCTCGTCAATCAGTTTGACAGATACGCCTCAGCTTATACAGGGTGTCTAAAAGAGGTGGTGCCGTTATGGCAAATTCAATTAACAAATAAATTGGTTAAGGCTTTCGCGGCCCGTTGATAAGGTATTATCTTCATTCGGGTTTAAAGGCCGTCGTCGATTGGAATTACTTCCTAACGTTTCGCTAGCACGAGTGGCGAGCTTCCTCAGAGGTCCTTCCATCTCCGATGTTGATGAGTCTACGTCCAACATCGGAGATGGAAGGACCTCTGAAGAAGCTCGCCACTCGTGCTAGCGAAACGTTAGGAAGTAATTCCAATCGACGACGGCCTTTAAACCCGAATGAAGATAATACCTTAATTAACAAAATCTCAAAATTTCAAATTGCACAAGCTATATTTTTATTCAGATATCAATTATATGATAAAAAAATAAGTAAAGCTTGTAATTATATTTAAATTTTACTCACTTTTTGAGATATTAGAGATTTAAGATAACACCCGTTCTTGTTGAATTTAAAGCTGCCCACATTAGGTCGCATGTTGGCTATATTAGACATTTTTTAAATAGCAAAGACATGAAACTACTTCTTTTAAAGATATGCGAATAAAACCTATAGCTGACAATGTAAGGTGTCTATTATCACGTGAAAATTTCTAAAAAAGAAGAAACATTTAGCAGTGAATTATCTGCCTTGATTAAAAATGCCTAATAATAAAAGTAAATAATTAAAGTTTATAGGCTAACTAAACAAGATAAGAAATTTGAATAAATTTATCTATAAAACAAAAAGTGAACTAAAAAGAGTTCCTTAATTCGGTCCATAAAGTTTAGTTAAAACCGTTCCTCTTAAAATGCTCCTCTGGCACCAACACAACAAACAAATATTAAAATATTTAAAAATGTAGTGGGCTATGACATCACAATATTTTTTTTGACTTATTAAAGTATAAACAAACTTTGACATTTCTATTTGATTTTGTTGTTTTTCATATTTCTATTTAAAAAGTGTGCAGTATTTAAAAGAAGTAGAAGTAGAAGAATGTCTTTGTTATTAAGAAAATACCTAATATTGCCAACAAGTGGGCAGCTTTAAATTCAACAAGCATTTATGAGTGTGTTATCTCAAACCTCGGATATCTCAAAATGTAAGCAAAATTCAAATATAAGATAAATTACAAACTTAGCTTATTTTTTATCCTAGAATGTATCTGAATAAAAATATAGTGTGTTCCATTTGAAAATGTTAAGATTTTGTTAAAATCAAAAGTAATTATGTTCTCGATATTGGTGTTTTGGATCCACCTACAGGACTATACATACATTTTTATTTTTATTTAATATTGCACGGTTTCGTATGAATTTACCCGTCCCCCGCTCCCTTTTTTAATATCCCTTAAAGCTGGCGTACACCACCGGGGGTATTATAATTATATTAAAATCGCGCTTCTGTCGCCTCCCGTGCAATTCGTTTTGCAAATGGCGTCTATTTTTCTTAATAGACGAAAATTTCAGCTGCGGTTTTAATAAAAATGTCTCAAGACTCGGGTTTTTATTTATGACGACTCACTTTCAGCATTAATCTCTTCAAAATTGCTTTAGTTAAAATAAGTCCTTTTATTTTATTTTTAAACATATTTAAAAACGATTTAATAACTATTTCGTAGATTATTTAATTAGTTAATGGCTGACCGATACGATGTCGAAACCGCAACAATAAAAAAAAATCAAAAAACGAAACAAATAGGCGATCACGTTTCCTCAAACAAGCCCGGGCGCAGATCACTTAAAGAATCGAGGTCAGGAATCAACACACACGCGTATTTTGGAAGCGATATACTTTCAAATCACCCAAGCGCCCCCCTTTCGAGTGGGGACCCGCCACGCTGATTCAAGGGTTTAATTATTATATAAATAGGTAATGGACAACTACCATGGCAGTAGATTTTTACAGTGCAACAAGCAAAATGTTCGCCAAAGTAAGTAACGTTTTTGTTCCCGATTATATCGAAGCTTTTGACGTCACTAAATGCGATACAGAGCGAAAATTTTAAAAAAAGATTCTAATATGAGTTTCTCTAGGAAATATTCGATAATTAATTTTACTTACTCCCTGAAAATAAAGATTAAAGTTATTGACGCTTCGTTTTTTCAAAATGGAATTTTGAATCAGGCTCGCAATCAAATAATAATCATTTTTCCAATTGCTTATTGAAATAAAATAAAAGATGAGTGGACATGATATATTTCAAAAACTTCCCCTGCGTACTCAATTTCCAACTGGAGTTGAAACTTACTTTGTTAGTTTTGTTAGCTTGTCTATTCCATCCGTGTATACTATGCAGTGAAATTTTCTTTGCAGGCAACGTGAATTTAAATTTCAGCACTTGAGGTGAAATCTTAAATACTCGTCTACTGCGATGATTTACCATGAACGCTACCCAAGTATCACATAAATGTTGTTATTCGACTAAATAGTTGGCCTTATTGTTACTTCCTTTAAGAGCAAATAACCGAAAAAGCTCGCCAAGGTCATCAATATGTTTTAGAAACTGATATATTGTTTTTTTATATTTGTTTTTGAATGAGTTTATTGAGGGTGCAGTGTACCATAATAACAATAAAATAAAATTCTTTGTAAGAGCTTCATAAGAAGATTTTATAATTGTTTACCTCTAAAACAATTTGCATATTGCACTTTAATAAAAATAATGCTCTTCTATTGAGCCCACAGAAAGATTCGACACATTGGGCCAATATTATTTACGTTAATGGTTTTTCCCAAATACTCCCTAACCATACGGGAATTATGGGGGGTGGAGGAGACGGCGACAACGGTCCGTCTGGAACCGGATCTCTTGATCTTCGCGAACAACTTCCAGTGCGGGTTCAATTTGATTTTGCTGAATTAACGAACTCTTTTTAGTTAACGTTGTTTAGTTAGCCTATAAACTTAAATTAATTATTTTTGTTATTAGATATTATTAAATCTGTTAAAGCGTGTGGTATGGAGTCATTTTTTCCCAAATTGTTTGTCAGTAATAGGCTTCATTTTTGGTCAACAAGGGACCATAAGATAAATTACATATTTTGTGTCCTAGAATTGATATCTGAATAAAAATATAGTGTGTTCCATTTGAAAATCATAGGATTTTGTTAAAATCAAAAGTAATTGTTTTGTTAATTGAATTCGCCCAAACGGCACCACCTATTTGGGACACCCTGTATAAGCTGAGGCGCATCTGTCAAACTGATTGAGTAGTGCATTATCTTCTTAGTTCGTGGCTAAATTTTCGTTGCAATACCTGTATCAGTAGCGTGACAACACAATTTTATATGGGGCAATCAAAATATGATTTAAAAAAACACATAACCTCAATTTCTGCCTAAACTTTGCAAAATTGTAGATTCGAAAAATGTAGAAATATACAGGGGGAGACCAAGAAAATTTTGTACGAAACGTTTTTTCGTATCTCCTATGCGTTTCCAGATAGTATATTGGATCGTTTTATTTGGCACACGGCGTACATTCATCAGTAAAACAAATATATTTTTTTAAATCCCAATCATTTGCACAAATCATTTCAAAACAAAATGCTACTCTTCTTTCTTCGACGCCTTCCCGGACCTCTCGGTGCTTTTCGTATTTATTGCAAAAATATTAATTTTTTTAATGTGCGCAACACTGGTTTGAAATTTATTCAGCACACGAGTTAATCATACAGAGAAGCTAATATTCGGCCACCTAAAATTTTACACGAGATTTCCTACGTTTGGTTCGGAAATGTATATAACCTTTGTATTTAACATTTCCCGCCTTTGCATCAGATCGCCGTAGTCGTAGCCGTCGTAGCCGCCGCCCGGGCTGGTCTGATCGACTACGCCCCCGCCGCTCACGCGTACGCCGCCCCCGCCTACGCGACAGCCCACATCGCCGCCCCGGTAGCTCACGTAGCACCTGTAGCCGTCAAATACGCCGCAGCTCCGATCCACGCCCACGAACATCAGGACTACTACGCTCCTGCGAAGTACGAGTTCAACTACGGCGTGCAGGATCCCCACACGGGAGACCACAAGACCCAGCACGAGATCCGCGACGGCGACGTTGTCAAAGGATCTTACAGCGTTGCCGAACCTGACGGCACCCTCAGGACAGTCCACTACACCGCCGACGATCACAACGGTTTCAACGCGGTCGTCGAGAAATCCGGACACCCTGTACATCCCGCCCCCGTAGCCCCTGCCAAGCTGGTGGTCGCTGCCCCCTACCACGCCGCCCCCGCTTACTACCACCATTAGAGAACGAACGGATGACTTGTACATACTAAGTTATTATTTATTGTAATATTAAAGGCATCTTTTTAACAAAAGTTTATTTTCTTTTTCATCACTTCAAAGTGTTGAAAAACGGTCGAATATCAAACAGGTGAATTTTATATCGAAATCGGGAGAAAATATACAAAGTGTCGTTACGAATTTCAAGTGAGATCTGTGCTCGTAACAATTAGATGCCATTTTCTCAAAAAACAAAATTAAAAAAAAGAAAAAACATTTTTGTGCTATATGTGCTATATCTTTATTATTTGGGTTTATAATTTTTTATCGGGGTTCACAAAACTATGTAATGATATAATATATGATATGATGATATGTAATAGACGTAAGAGAATATCCAGGAAACTGAAAGTAGACTAAGTTTGGAAGGACAACAATCAAGGTTGATGTATAGATAATGAGGCTTCTGATAGAGAGAGAGAGAGAGAGATGTTATGGAACAGAAGCGTGGACAAGAAAGAAGAATACATTTTTGTGCTATATGTGCTTATCGTTATTATTTGAGCGTTCAATTTCAGTGTTGATTAGATTAAGTGCTGTCAATGTTCCAGTGAACTAATCAAAATCACTACTTTTTTATCAACGTTCACAAAACAATATAATAATGATATATAATAGACGTAACAGAATATCCAGGAACCTGGAAGCAGATTAAAGCGCTACTCCATTTGGAAGGACATCAATCAAACCTGCTTTATAGATTTAACGAGGCCTTTGATGGAGTAAGTCTATAGAATAAGTGTGAAGTAGTTCAAGGAATAAGCAGGTCTGAAGCACACTTAGAAGAATAACATTGAACTGATAACTGATGAGATACTACGTCCTGTCTGTGCTATATTCTGGAATAGACTGAAGGTAGCTGAGATGAAAAGGCTACAAGTATTTGAGAGTTGGATGCATATTTCGAAAATAAAAATCTCCCTGATGATTGCCAACCTCCGAAAGGACACGGAGGCGAAGAAATATCGAATATACTTACTTTCTTCGATAGTAAAAAAACTAATACTCGTATAGTAAATCTTCGACGCTATGTAAGTTATAAATTTTTTGAGCACTACGTTCCCGATAAAGGACCTCTGATATTTTCTGGTATTAGTGGATGGATAAATTTGCACGTTTCTAATTCACGTCACTAATAATTAACCAAAATTCGAGTTGCAAATACACAGAGATTATGAAGATCATAAAGCCAATGGGAAAATCAGTTGGTATTTCTCCTGAATCGTTGTCTAGCGCATTCGAGCAAACGTTCACATTAAAGAGCGAGAGAGTATGATTTATGATTGTCGGTTGGTTGGTTGTTATTATCACTAGTCGGTTAAAAAGAAGCCGGAACGATATGATCGACCGAGATGTGTTGAAATAACTCCATATATTAACACAGTAACAAAAATAAATATCTATAAACTACAGAAGGACTCTAATGGTGATAGGCTACGGGAGCGGGATGTACAGGATGTCCGGATTTCTCGACGACCGCGTTGAAACCGTTGTAATCGTCGGCCGTGTAGTGGACTGTCCTGAGGGTGCCGTCAGGTTCGGCAACGCTGTAAGAGCCTTTGACAACGTCGCCGTCACGGACCTCGTGCTGGGTCTTGTGGTCTCCCGTGTGGGGATCCTGCACGCCGTAGTTGAACTCGTATTTGGGATGGGCGTAGTAGTCCTGGTGCTCTTGGACACCGTAGCCTTGGTGCTGGGGCAGCTGGAACACTCCGGCGTAGGACGCGGCAACGAGGACCGAGAAAATGGCGACCTAAAACGGCGAAACATAGAAAAGCATAAGAGTGAACCATTAATTGCATTTTATTAGGCCCTTTTCCATTAATTCCAAAAGTTATGAGAAAATATTAAATTATTTTAAAATACACAGGGCGGCTCAAAAAAGCGCGACGAATAAAACATACGTTCTTGTAAAAGGAACGGAACAGATAAAAATCGCACGGACTGAGGTCCTGTTCGTCTGTTAGCGTCTAAAATGACATGGAGGACACTCGTGTAAAAACCAGAGTTTAGTCTACCTTTACACTTTTGGAGAAACGACGTTTTTCTGGAAGCCAAAATAACCAAAAAAATTTTTTTTCAAAAATACTTCCGTTCAAATGTGGTCCCAGACTACTTTCCTGCCAAATTTGAGGTCGATAGCTCCAAATTTACGACACTTAATACATTTCTTATATACCACGAAATATCCGGAACACCCTGTACAATAGGTGGAAAAAGCTATTCCGGAAAAACCACAGACGAGAACTGAGAACGGACAGACAAAAAATCATTTCTGTACCTCCTACTATCATGATATAGAATTTTTATAAGAGCACAGATACGTTGCAAAAAATCGATTTAATCGATTTTGCAGAAGCAACTAGTTACAAATCTTTCAACGCTATGAAAATTTTGGATGGCACTGATAAATTGATAATTTAAAAAAAGGCATTGTTATTTTTGTATCGATAAAACCCTCAAACGGCGGAGCGAACATATAGATTCCGGCAACAAATGTCAAAAGTAGCTAAAGTGTTTTTTACGTTGTTTTCTATGGTAATAAATTTGAGAAAATGCGATAACGCATTCGCAAATTTCAATGTAAGAGACCACAAAGTAATTACAAAAAAAAAAAAAAAACGATTGCGGAAATTTCTTTAAAAAAGTTCATTAAAGTTTATGAGACATTTTATTATATAGTAAATATCCCAGTTCATTGTTGAATAAAATTTTATTCGAAAATATATAAGACACGTGTGACATATATATTTGAAATCAGCGCTACAAGGTAAGATGAAATTTTTTTTGCATAAAAATTGGTATGTAATATTAACGGGACAACTTTTGTATGCAATTTTTTTTTGTAAAACGTAAGTTAAACAAGTTAGGACGCATTAGACTCATTATACACAAATAAATAAATAAATAAATAAATGAACCTTCCCTCGTCACCCACCTTGGCGAACATTTTGCTTTCGTCTGTCTTCAAAACGATATTTTTCGACTGACGAGGACGTTTTTCTTCGACGCTTTTATACAGCAGACATTAACCTAGACACTGGGTGGAGGCACGCCGTACCAGAGTGACACGCGTTGTCGAAATCGAAAGTGCGGAACGGCAGAGGCGAGAATTTCGGTTCAAATTGTCGAAATATGTAGGTTACACTTAATAATTGTTAGTACGATTGTTTCACTGAGCGCGTAAAATAATTGCGTAAAGCCACGTCCGTCGCGGGAACAATTTAAAGAATTCTATGTTTTTGAAAAATTCCGGCTCGTAAATTCGAAAGAAAAATTACAGCTCGTTCCGCTTAAGAACTGTACAAAATTTTCGTTTAATTTTTTGTTGGTTGAAGATGAATTTTTTGAATATTTTTTTATCAAATCTGAGAAACAAGCAAAATGTTTCCGGGCTGGGCATTTTTGAATATTGTACGCCACTAGATCTGAAATAAAATTTGTGTTGTAAAAAAATGTAAAATCAGATTGTTATTAGTATTTTTGAAAACAGTTTTATACAGTGCGTCCCACTTAAGAACTGTCCCCCTTGTAAAGTCTTCGTTTACAGTTCAATTTTGATTTTTTTTTTGTTGGATAGACTCCTTAAAAGACGCCGAAACGTTTGATTTCAAATTGAAATTGACAGAATCGTATCCGCAACTACCTAAAATACCAGCGACGAAAGTTTACCACGTAATAAAGAAATGACGTAGACGCTCAGAAAAGTTTCGCGATAAACTCGGGAAAATGTCTTAGTCGGTAACATACCTACTTGAGTACCATTTCGATTTTTGAATGTGGGAAACATTTCTAATAAATTAAAAAAAAGGACAATATTTAGTAATGTGAGGCTGATGACCCACTGAAAAGACTGAAGGTCAACTTCGGGTATCCGGGCATACGTTTTAATGGATTTATCCCTTCAATTCAATAAAAAAAAAACTAAATTAAAAAAAAAAGTAAATAAAAAGGAGTAGATAAAAAAACAAAAATTCAATTGTTGCGGTTTAAAGTCCTTTTTCTCAAGTTTCACATTAGATGCGGGATTTTCATTAAAATAGTCAGACATTATTTGACCGATCGAAATGTTTATTCGCAACTGCACTGTGATTAACATTTCGACCTGTAGGTGGCACTTAATCCAATAACAAACTGGTCAATCTTCAAAACTGCCCAGCAACGGCAACATCGCGAGCACCGTAAAAAAAAGGTTGCCTGCAGAAAAGGGATCGGCGCTGCCGACACTTAAGAGAGACCGCGGGACACTGAGTCTCGACATTACAACCCGTGCTAGCAAACGTTAAGCTTCGTTATTCATTTTCATATGTTTTTTCCTTTGTTTGTTAGTTGTAAAAGTTTGTTAAGTTGTAAAAGTTAAAAAATAAATTTATCGAAAAATACAGTCGACTCAATCGAACAAGAATCAGCGCAGCAAATAACGTGGACCTACGTTAAAACCCACCACAAACAAATTCTCAAAATCGATCCATAAGCAAAGATTTTTTAGGATATACAGGGTTACTCCTTGTATCGTACCCACCCACAGATTTGCCAGTTTTCAAAAATTAAATATTTTTTTTTAAATATCTGTAATACCACTATAGATTTTTTAATAAAATTTGGCACACATGTATTGTTTACCAAAAAGCATTTTTTTAAAATACGCTTAAAACAAAAATTATTCTTACGGTCTCCAATCGTTTGTAAGGAAATTTAACTAATTTTTTTCGATCCGATGTACGGTTTTCGTTTAAAAAAATAAAAACCTTTTTCTACAGAGAATTATTCTCTTTTTTTTTAAATACTTCTAAAAATTGAAAGCACGAATACAAAGTGCATAAACTTAAATAAATAAAATGAATTTAAATAACAATCGTTTTTTATTTATCTTGATGTTAGGACGTTAATAAAACTTTAAAATTAAGTGGAAGGGTCTTCTAATATTTTTTTTCTGAAGAACACTAGTTGGTAACTAAAAACTAGATATTTTGTTTTAGATAGATATATTATTTTTCACCAAAAAAAGTTCTAAATTTAATTAGTGCAGTAGCGACCTAATCAACCCAAATATGATTTTTTTTCAGACATTCAATGGCACGCCACTCATTTCCTTAAAAAAATAATGACATTTGCAATTGTTTTCGTACAGATTTGATCTCTTTTTTTTTTAATTCGTCTCGCGGTGTTCACCAAAAAATAAAAACTAATTTCTATGCGTGCTGTCATATAAAAACGGAATTTCTTAGAAAAGAAATGATTGGAGATTATAGGAATAATTTTTGTTTTCAGAGAAGTCAATGTCTGCTAAAATTGACAGGCGAAATTCCGTACGCGCGCCGCTGACGTATTTTAAAAAAGTTGTGGTACATGTGTGCCAAGTTTCATTAAAATATCTAAAGTTATAATTGCAGATATAAAAAAAAAATTTTTTTGAAAATTTTATAGTTTTTTTTCTTCTACACTCTGTATAAAAAAATTGAAAGAAAGATATTACAAAGGCTTAAACACTCCGTGTTGACAACGGCAGTTTTTTTTTGTCAGGATTCAAAATGTTAAAAGCGGCTTTTGCTAATCCTGTTTGACTAAGAAATGGCCAAATATCTAATTTTGCGTTATTTATCTGCCAAGAACCAGTGGCACACCAAAAACGCCAAGAGACGACGTTGCCAGTGCTGAGCACTGCCGCGAGATTAATTTATCCAAAAAAAAATAAAAATTCATAAATTAGAAAATTTATTTTCATCAAGCGGAATTCACAAAATTACAAGCGAAACTTCGGATCACAAATACCCGCTAGTATGTGTGTGGCTTGGTAAACAACCCAAGTAGCACTAAATACTTATATAATTGCTTTATTGTTACTTACTTTACGTTTCTTTATTTTTCAAAAACCGCAAATACAAAAATTGTAGCTCTTGATGCGGCCTATGACACCGTTTGAACCAATTAGTCGTATTTTTTACGATTTTTGATTTGCGTCCCTGTATATTTTAGAAAAATTGTCGAGAATAAAAGTTTATAGAATCTTTTTGGTCACGTAAACGGTTTTTGAAAAAATGATATTTTTTGTAGACCCTTACATGCGCGATTTTTTATATTTTTAGAATACTTCCCGACCCCCCAGCAACCCCCTTTTTCAATAGGTTTTGTCAAGGGGCAAAGATGCATTTATGTGCCAAATATAAAGTCGATCGCTTCAAATTTCGGACACTTATCGTGTTTCATAGCAAGGTCCAAAAATAGTCGAAAATCGCGAAAAAAAGGTGGATACCAGCTTCGGATCAAGGCCATTTTTTACAAGCTTATGTGCCTCGTTGAGGGTTAAAAAGGAGGCAAGTTTCAATTTTGTAGCTCCAACGATTCGAAAGTTATTCAGGAAAATCCAAAAGACAAGAACGGAGAACGGACATACAAAAAAAAAATTTTTTTTCGACGTTGATCATTTCTGTAGCAACGGCGATCCTGTAGGACTTATATAAAATTCTTATACCAGCACAGATACTTTCGAAAATTCGGTTTCATCGATTTTCGAAAGTAACCAGTGGTTAATGCAAGATGGCGCTCCATATTGGCTGCACGAAGTTATTTAAATCAGTCATTTGATACGTCGGAGCGGACCCCAAGCTTGGCCGCCTCGCTCATTAGACCTTAATCCGATTGACTTCTTTTTTGAGGGCACTTAAAGTCTTTAGTGTACTTATAACAGATATCAATGATCTGCGACAAAAAATAATAAACTAAAAAAAAATAAAATCGAGAGCATTTGTTAAAATCTATAAGAAAATTATAAGAAACGAACATAGTAATTAGCGTCGTACACTACTTCTCGATTTTTATTAGTGATTTTTTATTTTCGTTAAATGTATTTATATTACTTAAGTTAAACATGTTATTGCATTGACTTATACTGTTCTTTTCACTTTTTTAATTTGTAGAATGCTGTTTTGAAAAATTTAATGCACGTCGCCTATACGCTAATAATGCTGGCCTGCATTTCCACTTGCATTTTCTTAACAGAAATGCATATCCCGATATCCACTATCACCTTTCCGTAAATTAGAAGTGCTGTTTATTAGGGCCGAGAATAAAATAAAATTTTTATTTGTGGCCAAACGATAACGAATCTTTCCTCCAAGTTTACAAACTCAATTTCCGAACACCTTGTATAACACCTATTGGGTACAACTGTTTTATAAACTTGCGCCTTTTCCATGTTTATAAGCGCCATATTAAAGGTCATATTTAAAGTTGTTATATAGTAAAATATATAAAAATGTTCAATGCGTTTGTGCTACTTGAGAAGGCGTTCCAAACACCCTGTACATATAAAAACCATTTCCTTACGATGTCTAAGTCAATACGAGCAACTTTCGGCCCGAAGTTTTATCCGTAGGCGTTGCCGTTTCACCGATATCGGCTACCGCGCGAAGCGGCGTTGCCGGCTCGTGCGCATTTTCCCGAAAGTTCGGGAATTCGATTTACCCGCTCAGGCGGTGGAAAACGAAACGTTGTGGGTCCTGCGAAGCCTGCCATAGCGGCGGCACCTGCAAAGCAAGAGTCTGCCGAAAGCCGTCCTGAAAGTTCTATTGAACACGGTGTATATGACTGGATTTATCGTCGAACTGACGTATCCAAGCCAGAGGAAGGTCGTGACGACATGCTGAGGCACGTCGCAATCTGGACACGCTGCGAATATGATGTTGAGGATGAAAAACGGGGACCAACAAAGGACGAACGTGAAAAACACGAGACCGAGAACTTTCGAGGCCTTTTGTTCTGCGGCTAGTGAGTTCGACGAGGAGGTCTTTCTCTTCACTTTGCCCGCCAGTAATCTGCAACGAGAAGACAAGCGGGTAACACAGGCCAATTTTTTATATAGACATTATTTCTACTAATACAAGAACAAAATTTGAATTAAAATCATCTACACCAAATAAGAAAGTCTCAAATGATGGTTAAGTCCTCGATTTCTGCGTTCTATTTCTTTTATATGCTGCAATCTAATACTTCCACCATTGGCAGATACAATGGATAGGTATTTTCTTACTGGAGTATATTCAGAGGTTTTTTGAAGCTGTGCCAGTCCACAAAAAACAATTTGATAAATCCAAATCACTTTGGATATAGTGAGGGCTCTGAGAGAGTGCCGCATGCTACTTTAAGGCTCTGTGACCTCTCTCTGAATAGGTATTTTCTTACCGTAGTATATCCAGAGATTCTTTAGGTATCGACAGTTGTGCTAGTCCACCAAAAGCTCAAGCGATTTGATAAGTCTGAGAGAGGGCAGCATGCTATACTTTAAAGCTTTTCTTACTGGAGTATATTCAGAGGTTCTTTAAGTAACAAAAGTTATGCCAGTGCACAAAAATGTCTAAAGATTTGATAAATTCAAATCAGTTTGGCTCTGGCGATTCGCATAGTTAAGGGTTTTGAGAGCAGACAGCATGGTACTTTAGAACCCTGTGATATCTCCAAAGCGCTTTGACCGTGTCGCACTGGGTGCAATATCATCTTATTTTTCGAGCAGGTCTTTAGCAATAATGAAAAGGATCAGTTCCTCTTTAAATTAGCTTCTAACTAAGAAGTTTAAACACGCTAAAAGCGTACAAAATTCTCAGGCGAAGTCCAAAACAAGTCACGAATTTGGCATATAAAATTTTTAAAGCCAAAATGAGAAACCAAAGAATTTGTCTGATTCTTGATCCTCATCGTTTCTTCGTTTTTATAACCGTTTGTTTTGTAAAAAAAAACAAAGCGGCGGTCTCACCTAAAGCTCGGTAAGCTGGCTGCGGCTTGGTTAAAATGCACCCTTAACGTGTTCAGACGCCAACTTCTGGTCTCTAGAGCGATACTTTCGGGGGTCTGAGTTCCCCGATTCGTGGTATAGCCTCTCGATATGTTGCCGTTGGCCGTTGAGTTCTGCAATTGGCGCGACGACGGCCTGAAATGGAATAATCGATAAATTATCCACATTTTATCTGGAAAATTGTTTTTTTACCCATGTTTCTCCCCTCGTAGGGGCTAAGAAACTTGCAATTATACAACGGACTAATTTTTTTCAATATAGATCTATTAATATCGATCCAAAATTTTGATGAGTCGTAATTTTTCTCAAAAATTTAATTTTTGATTTTTAAAAATACGGTTTATCGATATATTCCTAAATGTCCCACCACCCAGATGGCAAACGGTACCACCCGAATTAGACTTTTTGGTATAGTCCGATAGAGAATAGAGGAATATAAAATAAAAATTTCAATTTTTCAAAAAAATATCAATAAGCGAGATATAGAATTTTAAAAATTGACGTTCGATTTTTGAACCGTTCGTTCAGCCCAAAATGGTTATTTTCCAAAAGCGCCTAAGATTTAAAAGTCATTCCTTATAATGAACTAGGAAGATATCAATTATGTACGATTTTTAATATAAAAATTATAAAACAAAGTTGTTCTTGAACTACAATAATAGAAATATAGGATGAATGAATAAAAATTTTATTTGGTGTATTGTAAAATTTTGCGTAAGAAACGCTTACAGCTATCTGTAGATAAAATTCATTTCTAATACAGCAACATTGTATTAAATAAATATTTTGGGAATTGAATAAACTTTTCTTTTTTTTTTTGTAAAATAGATGATTTATATTAAAATTTCAGAATTTTTATATCAGTGTTGTTTATATCAAGTTGTTTTTTTTTCTATGAACTCTTCTAAAGATTCCACCTTTAACTCTTCTCTTATTGGTCTGTAAATTGTTTTGTAAACTTTCATTTTACCTTCCTTGCAAATTTCCTCTTACTCAAGTATTTGCCTTTTCGTATTCTCTTATAAGCTACTAACTTGTTCTATTAATGTATTCTGACCTCCAATTTATCTTTTTCGTCTGACGTTGCCATACCTTTGCCAATCATTTAGATTTTTCTCTAGATCCTTCGAGGTTCCTGCTATGACAATCGACAAATTACTAAGCATATTGTGGAGTTGCAATTTGTATAACCACATAATAACGTTGTATATCAGATTCGTAATTTCGATTCCTACCTGTCCGTACCGGAAACAGTCCTGAGGGGAGCGCCTTCAACGAAAGGGGACTTGCTGCAGAACCGACCCCCTAACCTTCGGAACTGGTCACTCTCGACGTGGTCTGCTGCGAAGCGAGCTCTATTCCGCAGCAGTTGGACGGTCAGCGCGAAGCTGATCAACATCACCAGCATTGGAATGTAAAAAGCCACCAGGCTGCCGAATATGAAGAATTTGCGATTGTTGATGACGCACTTGTTCGGTTCCGGCATTATGTTCCTCTGATCCACGATCCCTGGAAACCTCCAGATTGTAACAATTCGCCGGCAAAAACAAATTACTTTTAGATTGTCGTAAGGCATTAAACGAGATAGAAAGTCAGATTAAAGAGTAAGTTAATGTAAAGTAAAGCTAAGTTACAACGAATTACGCAAGGATTTTGCTAAGAAAAGTAGAGGAAACAGCTACCCAAGCGATATGGGAACGCGAAGAGATACGAACCTAGTTATGGAGAATAATTGATATCATATTACGAGGTGTGTTCAAAAAGTAAAGTGACTTTTGTAGCGTTAGAGGCGTGGTGTGAGCTCGGCGATTTTCTGGAACAAAGAATTTTTATAAAGTTTTGTCTAAAAAAATTGAATAATTGCTGCAAAACACTTGCACATTCATCGTTGTTAGTGTTTAACTTTTTAGCCAAAATCAAAACCAGAACTATGCCTCGGCCACCATATTCACCTAGTAGCCCCTGCGAATTTTTATCACTCCCAAAACACAAGAAACCTACGAAAGGAACGATTAAGGCGATAAAGATAAAACCTTACTTTTTGAACACACTTCATAGATCTTGGAAGATGGATGAATACTTGGAACTACAAGGCACTGTGGCCTAGTTTATTTACCTAGCACTGTGATCGAGCTGGACACTCCCATCGAAAGGAGCCAGGCCATCATGATTTTCATGACGATCGTTCTGGTGGTGGTAGCGTGACGGGTCTTGAGAGGATGCCGGATGCCCACATATCGGCCCAGACTGATGAAGCTCATGTGGATGATGGAGGCCGAACATGCCAGAGTGTCGCAGGTCGCGTAGACGTGACACCAGATCAGTCCCAAACGCCACTCACCTTCAAAACAAGGTTCGGTTTAGTGTTTTGGACCTTTGCTCCAATATTCAAAATTTACTTCCGAAAACTGAGCGAAAAGCATTCAACATAAAAGATTACTGTTCACTTTAAGTGGCGTAAATCGAATGTCCGTAAGTTAAATTTTTACACTCAACACTGGGGATGATTATTTCAATCCTCGCAAGATAAGTCAGCATGTATTTGACTTCCGACCCCCTAGTCACTTTTTTGGGTCTTTGAGTCTTAGGGTCCTAAGTTATGTGCTATGTGTTTGGTCTGGCAAAAGGCAATTTTCATCGGTTCTTAAAGGTCCTGAAACTACCTGCTTTTTTTTATTAATAATAATATTTCAATTTTTTGAAAAATATGCTAATTTACTTAGTTGCAAAAAAAAGATATGTGAAACACAATTTCAGTCAGATACCACAGGTAGTTCAAAACAACGAATCGATTTGGATCATTTTAAATCGAAAAGCATCGATTTTGTTAAAAGGCTCACCATATATATTATTATGTGTTTTGAAAGATCTTAAAAAGCATCATTATTTTGTTAAGCATATCATTTTTGACACTTTGCAATTTATTTTAACTTTTCCAATATATTTTTCTATTAGGTCAGAGTGTGCATTCTTATTAATAAAAAAGTTAAAAATAGGATGTTCCCGTTATAAACATGCATCCCGCTCTTTCAGGCTACCCTGTATTCTTTAAATCGTGCTCCCAACAACCTCCACAACTTTTGTTATCGACTCGCCCTGTACATTTTGGCCGTCTTGTCAAATTTCGCAGAGGCAATAAAAAATAAAACCCGAACAATATTCTCTTGGCGATTTTTTAATCAAACTCATTCGCCAAGTTTAAATGGCCGTTATTTATTATCCCCTTATATTTTCTCCGTTTCACGCCGATTTCTTCAATGAAAATTCCATTACTATGGAGCGACGGCGAAACAACTCATCTAAATTCACTTGTTCTCGGCCAATATGGACATTTCCATAAAAATTCCATTACATATGCGTCGCGGAAGGGGGCGGGGACTTTGGTCCCAGAGAATTCATTCTACACGTTATCCATGCAGTACGTGGTAATAGTAAGTGACGTCATCGCGTCTAGATTGAGAAAAGGTGATTTTTATATGGTTTTTTTCAAATATCTCGAACAGCGTATGCGATAGACGAAAACCGTAAATACAAAAATCGTAGTTCTCGATGTGGCCTAACACTGTTTAAACAAACCAATTGATCATATTTTTTACTAATTTTGATATACGGCTAATAATTTACTCTGGAACAAGACGATTTTCAGGGTCTTTTAGATTTTTGTTTATAATTGAATTAGGAGGGAGTGTGATGCAGTGGAAGAATACGAGCGAAGATGTGAAGCTTCAATCTGCATAGGAAGCTGAAAGAGGTGACCGGAATGAAGAAATATAGGGAGTCTACTGTATTGAGAAACTCCGACGGCAGTATTATTTCGACAGCTGATTCGCCGGACTGAATATATTAAAGACCTTGTCACTGACGATCAGCCTGAACCAATTCTTGGCCATGCTGAAAGTTCTACATGCCATTCAACAGACGAAAGGAGGAAGAGCAAATGGTAGTGACGAGATACCAATCGAGTTTCTTAAAATTATCGATTATCGTAAATCTCTTTAATATCGTATACTCAACCGGAGTTATTCCAAGACAGTGGCTTTCATTTACATTTATAATGTTACCTGAAAACAAAATGCTACAGAATGTTCTGATCATCGAACAATACCCTTATGGGTCACACTTTGAAAGTGTTTTTAAGAATTAAGAATATATAAGTTCAACTTCGAAATTTGCGATAGCAGGCTTTATAAAGCTGTTAGCACAACGATGTCTCGACATGAACCAAGATGTCTACGCCTGATTTGTTGATTTTGAAAAGGTGCTTGATAAAGTTCAACACCAAAAACTTATAGAAATATTACAGAACATGAACATTGATAGTCGGGACATCAAAATCATAGGGAATCAGGCAATTTTCAGTTAAGCTATGGACAGGAGGGTGTCACCATAAACAGGCAGATTTTAAACAACTGACGTTATGAGGACGACACCATTATAGTTACAGACAAGCTTCAGACAAGATCTGTAAACCCTGCTGCACCTTAAGAAAACTAAATATATGATTATTACAAAGAAATTAAATGTTAACCGAAATCTTACTAAAGAAAAAGTAAGAAAATAAAAATATTTAGGGATATGACTACATGAAACAATGCAGCAGTCTCATGAACTCAAAAGTCGCATAGATGTAGCCAGTTTTTTCAACATTACGTTGCGAATTAGAAGCATGGGCACTGAAAAAGGCAGACATGGACAACATCGGGGCTTCTGAAAGATGGTGGTATAGGCGAATGTTAAAACTCTCATGGACTGACAAGGTTTCCAATCTGGAACTGCTACAGAGAACCCAGAAACAGGAAATAGTTAACTCGCTAAAAAGAAGAAAACTGGAATATTTTGGCCACGTGATCATGCGATGCTAGAGAACATTATGGAAGGAAAAATCAGGCAGAAGGAGCCCAGGGAGAAGAATAACCACTTGACACAAAAACTTAAGGGAATGGTTTGGAATGACTTCAAACCAACTAAGCAGCTGTTAACGAGATTAGGATAGCCATGATAATATTCAACCTCCGTTAGGAGAAGGAACCAGAAGAAGAAGTTCCAGTATGGTAGGATACAATTTGGTTTTACCTGTATACACAGGCAATGCTAACGGCAACGTTGCCAGTTTTACCAAAAAGTTTTAACGTTAAGAATCTTGGAGGTTTTTGAAGATAGTAAACTTTAGGAGTGTATCGGTGACAGATCCCTAGAACAATAAATATCAGCGCGAAATCTGACGACACTGATGTTAGCTTTTTTGAACTCAATTATTATTATTAATGATTTCTTCCATTTGTCAATTTTCTAACCTAAAGGAGACAAACCAACGACAAACCTAACCTACAAAAGCGGAAAAGTTTTCGTTTATTTGCGCGAACAACCACCCCGCTTCCCTCTCCACGCCGACCGGTCCGAAGACCACCGTAAAATGTTCAATAACGCAAACAATTTCTTGGTCGGCCAGTCGGATCATAAAACGATCGTAATTCCGCATCGCAGGCGAATTTTCGGCCGTCGTTGACGCTTTTAATTGGGCGCAGCCGGCACCGTTTATTAGAGAATTTTACGATATGTTTACTCGCACCGAATAAAATATTTTCGCTAACGTTGCTGTTCACGAAAAGCCGGAAGCATCAGAAATTTATTTATGTCGCGACGTATGAGCCTTTTAAGCACTTTTATTTACGGGCGACACGTGGTCAAACGAACTAGAGTTTGGCCGGTGGTCAGAAGGGTCCCGAGTTCGATCGCAGTGCCGATCGCGCAATTTTTTCCCCGAAAAATAGTTGTACCAATTGTCTGATAGTGTGGAAAACAGCGTTGAATACAAACGTTTGGATAAGACTTGAAGAAACAATATCCGCAACAAGTGCTGTAAACAGTATTTGCCTCACTAGTTTATTTGTCACGAGCGGAACGCAGCGGGTACATTTTCGCAAAACATCACATGAACGTCAGATTTGACAAACGTGGTAGAGAATATGTTGGAGAACCAATGGTGCTGACAATAAGTGGAAGGGGTAATCCTGGTTTATGAATCTTTGAGAGTCCGTAGAGACGACGACTTTTAGAGTCATGAGGGGTGACAGGTTTTTTCACGGAGTTTGATGGAGAAGAAGACTCGACAAAAATCCACGCAGGAGGAATACAGAAGTTTTGTAAAAAGTATTACAGTAGCCTGCAGAAATTTCTTTGAAAAATACAACATCCTCGTTTCCCTTTTCATACTCACCGAAAAATCCGGGAATCGCGCCCAAAGGCATCACGATCAAACTGACTAGCAGGTCGGCGATGGCCAAGCTGAGCAAAAAATAGTTGGTGACGTTTTGGAGGCGCCTGTCGAGCAACACCGCCAGACACACTAGTACGTTGCCGAGGCAACCGGCTATTATAAACACTACCGCCAACAGGAAACTCCAGTTATGTTGGTGCTGATCTTCTTCGAAGGTGAGGTACAAGGGCTGCCGGCACGTGACGTTGCCTCCGCACTCAGACATCCTCAACGTGAAGTTAGCCAGGTTCTCCTTAACCGAGTGGAAGAGCACTTGCACCGAATAGTTTCGGACGCACTCGACGCATCCATAGAAGTTGTCTTTGAGGAGTTGACAGAAGAAGTCCGAGGGCGACGGCGCGGTCGCGTCGCAGGTGAGAAATCCTGCTGCGGTTTCGTCGCAGGAACCGCTGAACGGTCGCGTAGTGCACGAGAGTCGATCGCTGGACCGGTTCGGAAGTTTCGCCATGCTGACTCCATGGGAAGAATAACTAGAGGCACATATAATAGATTATAATTTAATATATTAAATATTAACAGGTTACAGATTTTAATTATTTAAAAGATTATGCAATACGTTAATTAGATTAACAGAATATTCGATTATAGATTAATGAATTACGGATTTAAGAGTACAGTTTTCTGCAGTGGCGAAAAACGTTTGGATGGGTTTTACTCGAAGTTCTAAGTGGTTGACCATAACAGGAATAATAGATTTTAAATTAATAGTTATAGATTATCGATTGAAAGATTGTTCTATTATAGATTATTAGATTGTACAGTAATTCATTATAAATTATTTTTAACGAGGAGAAGATTATTTTGGAAGAATAACAAACACCGAGCGAAAGGAAGAGTCTCATTCAAAATTCAATTTGGACTTGTGCTGGCAGGTGTCAGTTCTAAGTAATATTAATAATAATAATATATAATAATAATTAAATACTCCATATGCAATGTAAAGATTGCCTCGCTCTTAGACAGCCGTGTACTAAAGAAATTAACACGAAAAGCGTTCATTAACAAGATTTATTACTAGTGAAAATCAACCTCGCGTAAAGCTGGAAATCCAAGAAGCGGCTTAGCGATATCGCGACGTTTCGGCACCAAAGCGGGAACAATAAGACAAACAATGGGTTCAAGAGAGCGTAAAAGACGCGACTCATGTTGCCCTCGAGAGGGGACGTCTATTAAAACAGGTATCTCGATAGTCGTTCTTGTCCACGGATTTGGATAACTAGCTTTGATAAACAACGAAATGAACTATATCTGATATAATTTTGCCGCCTGCGAGCAAAGATTAGCATTGGACATATGAATTTATTTCTCATTTGAACGTACAAAATGTCAGAAGATCTTCAGTTTCTGTCCTGATAACACTTGCTTTGTGGCATCGAGAACCAACCAAAAACGTGTTTACAAATACCAAAATTATGCTTTGCACCTTTGATTGATTAATTACATGGTAGAATTTAAGTTTGGTTGAACATAATGCCATGTGTTTCTTTTAGCCTAGTTGATATTTTACGTCCCGTTGATCTGTTGATCACGTGTACGCTCTAGTTGCTTTTTTATTCTTACAGGAGCTTAGATGTTTCAATTTATGGTTGAGATAGTTTTACGGCTCTGATTCTGTATTAATAAGAATATCTAGCAAGGAGGGATTATTATTAGGAGAGATTCTTGACTTTGAGTCCATAACAACATAGTTATTTTATTAAATGGAAAGTTAAGAGGGTTTTCTTCTCAAAAGCTTCTAACTGAATTAAAGCGACGATTTTTGGGTCCCTTTTATAAACAGAACTTCCTATGAACATAAAGTTTTCAAAAATGAAATATGTTTTTTTTTAATATATGTAATACCACTGAAGATAATTTAATGAAATTCGGCACAAGTGTACACATATCTATTTTGGCAAACATTGACGGTAATTTCTTCTAAAATAATAATTATTCTTACAATCCCCATTCCTTCACATTCCTAAGGAAAGTTAATTCCCTGATTTGTGGCCTTCCAATGTACGGTTTTCGCTTAAAAAAAACCTCTCCGGTTTTTCTGGTTAAATAGAAAAATCACAAACTTTTTTCTATCCCGTTAATTTTTGTTTATTCACCGGAAATGACTGCGAGTCGCGTAAACTTAATATTCCGGCAATAAAACCAGGCGCAAATATTTACAAGTATACAACGAGCCGTTGTGTTTTTTAATTATGCCGAAAAATTAGTTTGTTTACCCGAACAGGGGTATTTGGGATAACTGTTAAAAGCAATTCCGAACTTGAAATTTGTACAATATTGTCAGGATTTACGTAAGTAAAATACAAAATTTGGGTTACTGATTGAGAAGCGCCAATCAGGATTGTTTCTTCAACATTTGACTCCGTTAAATCCACCCCAAGTAAAATCAAACTGCGGCGACAATTTACAAAACTTATTAAAAAAAGGGAAGAAGTCTATCTGTCGATATGTTGTCATCCATAGTCCTTGTTTACTATAATTATTTATAAATAAGTCAATATTCGGTACTTGGGAGGGTCGTAACATTCCTTAATCAGTTTTTGTGCCTCTTTTTCCAAAAATCTATAATGCTTTCATGACTTACAAAAAAAACGGACAAAGAATTAGGTGTACAAAAAAAAATTCTTTGTATTTCACAAGCATATTCAAAAATGAATACTATAATTAAAATACCAAATTTTGTTTTTTCTTTGACAAGTCAAATTTCAAAAATGTTCAAAAAGTTCAAAAGTGTTCAAAAGTGTTGAAAATTGAATTGTTTCGGAGACAAATGTTAATGATACCATGTCCAACTGTTTAGCAGCAATCTACTAGATTATTTTTTTTAATTAAATGCTTAAGATTTTTTTTTTATTTGGAAACTGTAAGTCTATCGAAATGATTTTTTTTCATTTCATTACGAACTTTTTTAAATTTTGATTATTTAATAAAACAAAATATGCTGAAGGTGTGTTTTTATAATACTTAAAATAAGAAACATCAAGTTTTCGAAACCCTGTGACATAGTGCTAAAACCGTGTATCAAGTTTTGTTAATTTTTTTACACGAAAAATCAAAAATTTTATGTTTTTCGGGTAGGAATTTTTTTGGAACGAGAAAAGTGTTCGCAATGTTGAGTTTCAAATTGGTTGGACAAAATTCAAAGAATCCAATGCCGGAAAGCTTATTGAAGGGGCCGGGGGATCACTTTTTGATTGCTTTTGACTTCAAAGTATTTGGAATAACCTCTACTTGTTTAATTTCAATTGCGGCAAATACTGATTAGTATTAGTGTCGCTGGCTTAAAAATAAAATAAAAAATACATAAACATGTGCATAAAAAAAAACAAATTTTGGTTATCAATTTAATATTTAAATGTATATAACAGCATATTAAAAGTAAAATTTTGGTTACTTATTCGGCACATTTTTTTGTTTTTTATGTTATTTTTTATGTTTTATTAACAAGCTTTCGTGTTTGGCTTGTCATTTTTCCCTAACCTATCTTATGGGCCTCATAAGGCTTAGTAATTTTTATTAAAAAATTATTTTCCAAGTGCAAATACTATTTCCCAATTTTTTTTCCGTCATTACGAACGTTTCTATCTAAATTTTGATTATTTAATGAAACAAATATAAAAAATATATTACATAATAATAAAAAATATGAAAAAAACATCAATTCTCCGAATCGGTTTGGAAACACCCCTTATATGGCCAAATTCCCAGCTAGTTTGACATCTGAGTATCTCTTTTTTTTGGATCGGCATAGGGAAAAAGTACACTCACCGTCATCAAATCAAAAATCCGCACTACGTGACCCAACCGATCGGAGGTGACATCGCGGATCACAGTTTTGCCCGATCCCCGCAATATCTCAACTCTGTAACACCAAACGGGAGACTAAACGGGCGTCTATTATGCCCGACCCACGACCATGGCCGCCCGTCGTCGGCGCCAACCATTAATGATACGTTTTCATTTAACGCGATATTTATTTATTTTTTTCGGAAGTGTTTCTAGCTGTAATTAATCACTATCGTCGGTACGTCCATCGTATCGTCAACTTTGAAGGCTCTCTTGTGATGATCGCCTCGATGGTCCCACCGCGACTTGGTGCTTCTGAAAATCTCCCGAACCCACTTCAAGCAGAAGGCGTAAGAAGTTTCTTAACTTCTTCGAATCTGAGGGAGGTTCTTGGAAGTCGTGCCACCCTCCATAGAGTTGTTTGTAACACGGCACTTAAGTACCGAAAAATAGTCAAAAGGCAAGTCGTAATGTAACCACAATAGGAGATTTAATTACCTCCAATAAATTAAAAGATATCGATTAGACAACGGATCCATATTTTACCTTGGAGCGTAGTTCAATACACACGACATTGTATCCAAAGGATTGGTTGATTCCACTAAGAAAAGTGTCAGACAAAAGCACTTTCAAATAAAGGAAAATGCACCATAATACACTCTGGGTCAGAAGACGTATGTGTCCCGAACTGCCTGCTGTTGTCTCCAAAGTAAGAAAGATTCCAACTTGGATTATCATGAGGATAGAAGTGTAGACCTTTTTGAGATTTGGTTACAAAACAATCTTTTGAATGTATGCTACGCAAGACGCCAGCCTCATCAAGTTCAAAAACTGAAATCAATCAATTTTTCTGAACAGACTGGCCATACTGTTTAATGCTCAATGTTTAAGCCCAAAAAGCATTGGTCAGAGCAGAAAACGCTGCTCCTACTTTAAGTCCCAGCATACTATAAAAACTCCCATAATGGCGGCTAAAAACCAACACGATGAAGATCGAGACAGACTTGTACTTTATTGCCCTGGATAGAAAGTTACAGTCGAACAACTTTACGTCTTTCCAATTCTTAGAAACATCGTCATGGTTTTCTTTGTCGTTTGTTTCATGTTCTTTTTACTGACGATCTGAAAGTGTTCTTAGAAATAACCACTCAAAGTGACTGTCTAGTAATCGAGGAAAACCTGGTATGGAACTTAATGTACTCAAGCAGTCGGTTCCGTGGACAATGCAATCAATAGGGTCCATCGATGCTATAAAAACAGCACGTCTATAATAGATAGATAGAATGGATACCGTATAGAAAGTATTCAGCAAAATACAGGGACTAAAAATTACAACGCATCATAAATTTTGAGTAAAAAAGACGCTGAGACGCTAACTTAAAGAAAAACTATAAAAAGCACCGTAAAATTCAGTTATTCTTGCAGAAAAGTCAAAGATCGCTCTAGTTTATAGAAAAGAACACTTTAATTTTTTTTTAAAAATCCTCGTTTTTTAATAACTAACCAAAACTATCCATAAACATATCGAAAATGTATCTATTCTTGAAATCAGAGAAAAAGACGTTTCATCATTTGCTACGCTTTTCTGTTGCAAGTCTAATTGAATGCGAAGTTTTTCTCGGTGACTTTCGTTCAGCCCTGTAGGCGCGATTAGAAAAAATAACCCCGTACGTGAAACTATGTGCACACAAAGTGCGAAAGGGCCGATTTTACTGTTACGATGCTCGTAAAACCGCCCGCTACGCGAGTTGTATTTTAGCCGACATTTTGTTTCGGTAAAAACCGACGCGGATATTACTTTTCACCCGAAACGTCTGACGGCTTTAACATCGTTTCGCTTTCAAAATCGGCCCGTTCAAACACCCGCGTCATTAATTGGGTGTTTGATCGGACACGAGTCATAATAGTGATAGTGTTTTCGATTAGCGTGAATGGATAATTAACGTGTTATTCCCCCGAGTTAAGGTTTTCGTTAAAATGCCTTACTTTGTAACTCGAGAATAAAGTTTCCGTCTGAATAAAATTTACGGTTGCCTCGTACGGGCTTTAAAGCACGCGGCAAAAGGATTTTTTTTTGACAGTTACTGAGCTCAGACACGCTAATATTGGGAAATTTTCGATCAACAACAACAAACAACAAATTTTTGAAAACCACTTTTTTTAAAATATCCTTCGAACGAGATGACCCATACCACACTCCTCCTTAAAAAAAATATGTAATTTTTGAAAAGTATTTATAAATAAATAAGAAATAAATATTAATTGTAATTACGAAAGTTAAATTATTAAATTATCTATAAATATTTATTATACACATTGCTTACGTAATTATATATAATTAAAAAACAAACATTTTTAAAGGGTTTTTAAGTAATATTTCTTAATTTAAAAATATGAGAGCAATGAGAAATTGCAGTTGCCGTTCCAGCTGCTTGTTTCCTTTACTTTGAAACCGAATAAATAATAATAAGTAATGAATTAGCATTAAATAAAAAATTTTTATATGTAAATAACTTATAATATTTTTTATATAAAACAAATCCATTGCTTATGCTTACAATGCATTACATTATTTACAAATTATATAATTAAAAAAAACTCTTTATAACTTTTTATAAGAAATATTTATTGATTTAAAAACATTTGAATAATGCTATCAAAAAATAGCAGATGTCCCTTTTGTTTTCTTTAGTTAGAAATCAAAAAAATAACAAAGTTTTTTTTTAAGTATTTATTAGTAAATAGGAAATAAATAATAATTGTTACTTCGATAGTTCAATTTTTTAATATTTAAAAATTTATTGTTTAAATTGCGTATCTAATTACATATAATATTAATGGTTGTGACGATTAACATTATTAAAGAACATTTGTAATTTTTGAAAAATAAAACATGTTTAAACGGTTTTTAAGAAATATTTATTGATTTAAAAATGTGAGAATAATGCGAAAAAAATAGCAGTTGCATTTCCCTCTTCCAGCTTCTTTTAATTTCTCCTGTTTTGTTTCTTTGATTAGAAATAGAATAAATAATAAATAGATGACAATTTTAGATATTGGAATCGGTAAATTAGTGTTATTAATCTTTTTTTATTATTTAAAAATTCAATCTATAAATGGCTTATGTTATTAAATATATTTTTAATGGTTATTATTAGAATTAATAAACTATTCAATTTTTAATTTTTAATTATACCTGCTTTGGTATCGGTAAATTACGATAATTAATATCTATGTACAAATAAATTTATATATTGTTTATGTAATTATATTTAATTTTAATAGTTGTAATTCTTGAATGAAAAACATTTTTAAAGTTTTTTCAATAAATATTTATTAATTTAAAAGAATGGGAACAATGCAATAAAAAATATAGCAAGTGCCCTGCCTCCCTTTTGTATTCTTTAATTAGATACCTACTTTGGCTTCTGTGAATTACAATAATTAATTTTTTATATATATAAAAATGAATTGTATGAACTACTTACGTAACCAAATATAATTTCCATGGTTGTGCAATAAATATATTATTATGATTGTTGTTGTTATTAATTAAAATGCTAATTATTAAAAAATGTATATTTCTTAAAAAACGGTATTAAAAATACTAGCTATTAAAAACCTATATACTTATGAAAATAAATAAAGATATAAATAACTATCTTTTTATGCATAAAAATTCATTACATGAATTGCTTATGTAATTTTGATGATTGTAATAATAAATATGGTAACATTTTTGTTATTATTATTAATATTGTTATTAAAAACAATGGTCAATCAAGTCAATGGTATTTACCTTGAGGAACGCAGGAAAAGAAATGTACGCAAAAAATTCAGATATCCCCAATCCCCAACACGTCTATGGCTGCAACACCCTTAAAATTTCTTATCAAAAATTAATTATCATAAATTTTATTTTTCAATTGTACCAATAAGAGTAGCTCTTTTCTCTAATCTTCTTGAATGAGTCTTGAATTTTTGTTAAACTATATTAAGCACATATACTAATACCATAACAATATCTTTTTGCCATGAAATTTTTTTAAAGGTACGTATTTTTCAGATATCGAGGGACTGCATTTTTGGATAAATTTTGGCCATTGGGAACACTTTTGTTTATACGATACATCGAAAAAATAACGGAAAATTCGGTAAACATCGATTTAACCATCCGTTCTATTTTTATATATTTATATATGTTTTTATTTTATTTCTCGTTCGAGTCACGTATTAGCTTATCGGCGCCATTGACACGGGAAAGCTTTTATCTCGGAAAATCGAAACTCGTTCGCGCGATCAAATTTTCTTTGTAATTTCCCACGATTCGTTTGTTTCGCACTGCGATTGTACAAATCGTTTACAAATCCGCAACATATATATATATATATATATATATATATATATATATATATATATATATATATATATATATATATATATATATATATATATATATATATATATATATATCAAGAAATTAAATTTCTTTAGAAATGATTGATGAGAAACCACGAAATGTCATTTTCTTAAACTTAATATTTTTTATATAAAACAAATCCATTGCTTATGCTTACAATGCATTACATTATTTACAAATTATATAATTAAAAAAAACTCTTTATAACTTTTTATAAGAAATATTTATTGATTTAAAAACATTTGAATAATGCTATCAAAAAATAGCAGATGTCCCTTTTGTTTTCTTTAGTTAGAAATCAAAAAAATAACAAAGTTTTTTTTTAAGTATTTATTAGTAAATAGGAAATAAATAATAATTGTTACTTCGATAGTTCAATTTTTTAATATTTAAAAATTTATTGTTTAAATTGCGTATCTAATTACATATAATATTAATGGTTGTGACGATTAACATTATTAAAGAACATTTGTAATTTTTGAAAAATAAAACATGTTTAAACGGTTTTTAAGAAATATTTATTGATTTAAAAATGTGAGAATAATGCGAAAAAAATAGCAGTTGCATTTCCCTCTTCCAGCTTCTTTTAATTTCTCCTGTTTTGTTTCTTTGATTAGAAATAGAATAAATAATAAATAGATGACAATTTTAGATATTGGAATCGGTAAATTAGTGTTATTAATCTTTTTTTATTATTTAAAAATTCAATCTATAAATGGCTTATGTTATTAAATATATTTTTAATGGTTATTATTAGAATTAATAAACTATTCAATTTTTAATTTTTAATTATACCTGCTTTGGTATCGGTAAATTACGATAATTAATATCTATGTACAAATAAATTTATATATTGTTTATGTAATTATATTTAATTTTAATAGTTGTAATTCTTGAATGAAAAACATTTTTAAAGTTTTTTCAATAAATATTTATTAATTTAAAAGAATGGGAACAATGCAATAAAAAATATAGCAAGTGCCCTGCCTCCCTTTTGTATTCTTTAATTAGATACCTACTTTGGCTTCTGTGAATTACAATAATTAATTTTTTATATATATAAAAATGAATTGTATGAACTACTTACGTAACCAAATATAATTTCCATGGTTGTGCAATAAATATATTATTATGATTGTTGTTGTTATTAATTAAAATGCTAATTATTAAAAAATGTATATTTCTTAAAAAACGGTATTAAAAATACTAGCTATTAAAAACCTATATACTTATGAAAATAAATAAAGATATAAATAACTATCTTTTTATGCATAAAAATTCATTACATGAATTGCTTATGTAATTTTGATGATTGTAATAATAAATATGGTAACATTTTTGTTATTATTATTAATATTGTTATTAAAAACAATGGTCAATCAAGTCAATGGTATTTACCTTGAGGAACGCAGGAAAAGAAATGTACGCAAAAAATTCAGATATCCCCAATCCCCAACACGTCTATGGCTGCAACACCCTTAAAATTTCTTATCAAAAATTAATTATCATAAATTTTATTTTTCAATTGTACCAATAAGAGTAGCTCTTTTCTCTAATCTTCTTGAATGAGTCTTGAATTTTTGTTAAACTATATTAAGCACATATACTAATACCATAACAATATCTTTTTGCCATGAAATTTTTTTAAAGGTACGTATTTTTCAGATATCGAGGGACTGCATTTTTGGATAAATTTTGGCCATTGGGAACACTTTTGTTTATACGATACATCGAAAAAATAACGGAAAATTCGGTAAACATCGATTTAACCATCCGTTCTATTTTTATATATTTATATATGTTTTTATTTTATTTCTCGTTCGAGTCACGTATTAGCTTATCGGCGCCATTGACACGGGAAAGCTTTTATCTCGGAAAATCGAAACTCGTTCGCGCGATCAAATTTTCTTTGTAATTTCCCACGATTCGTTTGTTTCGCACTGCGATTGTACAAATCGTTTACAAATCCGCAACATATATATATATATATATATATATATATATATATATATATATATATATATATATATATATATATATATATATATATATATATATATATATATATATATATATATATATATATATATATATATATCAAGAAATTAAATTTCTTTAGAAATGATTGATGAGAAACCACGAAATGTCATTTTCTTAAACTTTCTAAACAGCTTGACGAGAGAGAATCTAATAGTGTTTTTTTTTAAATTTTTCTCGAAATGGAAACGTGACGAACCTCGACCAGAGATTTTCAAGTAAGTTTTCCATAATTTAAAATTTGCCGTAAGTAGTCACGTACGCTGTATCGAAGAAAACCCGCTTATACCCGAAAGTTTTCCCCGGGCCCTTGACATGTCTATTGTAGAGTAAATTGAAACTCACGGAAAACTTTTGAACGTTCGTCGTCGCGAGGCACTTAAAGCTGACGTCGAAATCACGTCGGAAAAATCATCGAGGAAATCGTGGAAAAGACCACCGACCTTTCAAACTTGCAGAATTTTTTAATCAATTGAATATTTTGCTATTAACATAATAAAAATTACGGCTATTTAATTAAAATTATGTATTATTTAATAAAATTAATTTCACTGACAAAATTATACAATTCATATCGCAGAGTAACCTGGGCCTTCAAAATAAGTGTAGTATGGATATGATTTTTTTTAAATTTCAATAATTAAATATCTTAATATTAATCGAGTTACTTAGTTGCAGAAAATTAACATTTAATTGAATTAATTAAATCAATTTAACTGAAGAAATCAAACCAGGGTATTCAAAATAAATAAAGTACCGGAAAGGAGAAGACTTTTTTCAATTGTTTCTTCAATACCTAATATTAATGCTATCCATATTAAATATTTGAAATTTAGGTTAATTAATTAAACGAATTTAGTAGTAAAACATTCATATCCGTAAGCAACCTGTGCCTTCCAAATAAGTTAACTATGGCTAGACTTTTTAGATTGTTTTTTCTATTAATTTATTTATATTAAATTACATTGTTAATAATAATGAATATTAATAATTATTGTAATATTAATGGCAATTTGACTAATGCTTTAAAAAGCTTTAATTGAAAAAAGCAAATTAAGAAATCAATATCCGTGAGCAACTTGTGTCTTCAAAATAAGTAAAGTAAAGACACGATTTTTGAAACTGTTTTCCTTATTAAATTGTAAAAGCTGTGTTTATAAGTTAATTTAACATTAATTTTAACATTAATATTAATAATTAATAATAAAATCAAGTCGACAAGTTATCGGCGCCTTAACATTTCAATGCGGTAGCCAAACTTTACCGTAAAATCGGATAGCAATCGCTTCAGCTGTCGGACTCTTGATTCGGACAAACAGCTTCAATTAAGTCGCTCGAGCTAAAAATAAAGCTGCCCATTTTGGCCGGGTGGGACTGAAACGAATGGGGTTCCTCCTACTATCTTGTCGGCCCTTTTCTTTTTGTTTATGTTCGGCCCGTCATAGTCGTACCAGGTGGGTTTTCTCAAAGCGAAAATTATGTTGCGCATCCGCCATTTTGTCAACAAAGTAGTCCGCGAAATGTTACTTTTGAGGGTTCGATTGAAAATTACAAATTAATATGTTTACAACTTAATCCTAATAGAAGTCTAATAGCTAATAGCTTGTAAGATCTTTCAGAACAAATAATAAGGTATGTGAAAAGTGTGAAATTAAAATACAGGGTGGTTTCTAATTGGCTATCGATTATGAAAGTGCGATTTTTTTGACCATTTTAAAAAGAAAACCACATGAACGCATGTCCTAAGGAGTCTTTAATTTTGAGATACAGGGTGGTAAAGTTAAAAAAGAAGCTACTTAATGAACGAACGAACTGTTCTTTTTATTTTTACAGTTTTAATGAAATAACATAACAGTGCAGGGAGAGCGAGCGAGAATGGCGGACGATGCGAATTCGTTTTAAGTGTAAAATACAATTTGATGATGTGAAATCAATAATACAGTGTACTATAATCGATATTATCATGGTAAATGTGTGAATGTCGAGCTAAGAGGCTTTCATATGAAAAAATCAAGTTGAAAGTGTGCATCGTGCTGTGATTCTGTTTTCGAGGTTATGAGTGAAACTGTAAACAAACCTGAGCGGGCAAGGAAGAGAAGTAGAACCGATGAATGCATTAAAAATCGGGTGTTCTACCAAGAATGGCGGACTAATACTGGAGTGTGGGGATGGAAAAAAGATTTCGAATATTCAAGCAGAAATACAGAATAAACTTGGTGCAGAATATTAAGTAGAAAGACCTAAATTACGTGAACATAGAATAAAAGTTTTGGGAGTTGATGAGAGTGCTGAAGATAATATAATTATTGAGAAAATTGTTAAACAAAATGAGGTAAAGCCAAATGACAAAGATTTCAAATTGAAAATTTTGAGAAAAAAACATGCAATTAACAAACTTCGAGTGCTAATGGAATCTCACCAATAAAATATTTTAATAAAGACAAAATCGATTGGATAGCACAACCAATACGGACATGAAATCTGCAGATTACCCGTATCATTGTATTTTTAATCCAATCCAGATGATTTGGTCCGAGTTGAAAGCGCATATAAGAATAAATAACACTGCACAAAAATTTAATGGTTATACCATAACCTTAATTCGACTAGAGGTAACTGTGAAAAGCGAGTAATCAAAGAGGAAAATATTTACCGAAAACGATTAGTGGCGGATTTGATCATTGAACAGTAGCGATAGTGACGATTTTTTAAGTTACTGATATTTTGTATATTAATAATGATACTAAGTCGAAATGTAATGAAATAGATAAATTGTTCATTTGTAGTAATTTTTGTATGTACATGTTCCAAGAATTGTTCGTCAAGAAATATAAAAAGATAAAGATAGACAGAAGCGTGTAGTGCTGTAAATGGCCTCCTTTCGCACTGGAACGAAAATAACTATGATACTCCGGTCGGAATGGCACCCACGCAAGCGCCCATGACACCTTTACCGAGAAAAGCCGCCACACTGTCTACCGCCGCCGGAGTTAGTAATATCGCGACGACCGCCTCCGGAGGTTGTCCGAAACGAGTTTCGATATCAGTAGCGTCGATACGTCGACCCCACAGGTGTTGATAAAAAGTTTCTCTCGGTCGGACTGGTATTCCGGGTGCCGCGGGTCCCGGGAAGAGTCCGGGAGGTTGGAATTTTTTTTCCGGGCCTGCCGTAGTCGAAAACTATATAGTATGGGTCCCGCCGTCGTCGCTGGTCTCTTGGGTTCCTAATGGGTGAGCGAGTTATGCGACTTCCTTAGGGCAATTTTATATTATTGTCATCATCTTTTATAAAAAATGTATTATTGTTGGTAGGCGAACATATAGCTAGCGAAATGCTTTTGCTGACTGAACTGAAATTGACTTAAAGAAATAAACTTTTTGTTAAAGAATAGTAGATGCGAGATACCATCGAGCACCGAACCACCATTTCTATACTACTTACAACGATCTAAGCGCCTACTAAAACTCCGATAGTTCATGTTCTGAAAACTTGTTTTTTATTGTTTGATCAGATGTCAATGGCCCAAATTATCCTGCGGACTCGCTTGAAATATTTTTTCCAAACAAAAATAAAATCCGCATGTTTTTTTTCAAAAAAAAAGTTACATTTTGGATAATAAAAAAAATTTCGACTATATTAAAAAAAATCATGGTTCCTTTTTAGAAGATTTAGGTTAGAGCAAAGCTTGGGATGATGGCAATACTGCAAGGTTTTTTTTTGTTTTCGGAAATTCGGATATCTATGAAGACCTGTTCGATGCCGATGAATTTTGGAAACCTTATGCAGTAGTTTTGAGGTCTTCGAGGTATATTGTCTTACAATATACAATACAATTTTTAAGGTTCTCAAATCATGTAATTCAATTTCATTTTGTAGTAAGCTTCTTGTGTCAGGCGATGCTCTAATTGCAAACACGAAAAATAATCCTGCTAAAAAATTGTTTCTAATAGAGACTCAAGCGTTCCCAATGGGTCTCAATTTTGAATTTGTTGCGATATAGGCAACCGAGTGTAGCCAGTTTTCACATAAGACCTTCACGATTCATTGCAGATTTTATTTTTGAAGAACATGATGAAGAAATGCTTAGGGCAATTTTGTTTCAATATTGTCACATTTTTTTTAAAAAACGGTTTTCACTTTCTCTTTAGGGGAAAAGTTATCGCCTCATCACATTTTCACTGGTTCGATGTAGCTTTGAATTAGTCAATAATTCTTTCATTTTGTGGTAATTATTAAGTATCATTTACTAGTAACTGTCTAAGAAACAAAATTTAAAAAAATAGGAATGTTACCATATTTCAATTAGGCTGCTAAGTACAGAAGGAATTAAAAGATAAAAATTTGAAGAACTGCAGCGGATTCAATGCTAGAAAATTTTCTACGAAACTTATGATGGAGGATATTTTGCAATAAGCTTCCTGTGCCGTCCGATCCTCTAATTCCACAAAATCTAACAGCATAAAAAAGCAATTTTTGAAATTACTGTGATAAAGGCAACCAATTATAGCAAATTTTTTGTCTAAAAGTTTATAATTAATTGTAATAATAATAATAATAATAATAGAAACATTCATTGCAGTGCGAAACGTACAACTTTCATTTTATATTCCCAAATCGTACTGATTTCATCGCTGACAGAGGACCCAATGCACTTAGCAAAGTCTCTTGAAACCTAAAGAACTAGAAAAGAAAAATGAATAAAAACTCATTGAATATGAATGATAGACCCCAAAACGTCACTTTATATGCGTAACTAATTTAATATTAATTCAATAATAAGAATTCAAAAATTGGCTAGAAAATATGGAAACTAAGCTGGAAAATCACTGACTTCGTGCTTGTCGGTTAAAAAATTCTTGTCTTAATTTCCATTTAAGAAGTAATGATTATCGAACTATTAAAGAAAGGGGAATGGTATTGTAAAGTTTATAAATACTTCAGCAAATGCTTCTTTGAAGGAGAGACTTCCTATGCGCTGGTGGAGAGATGAGCCACCTAAATCTAACGTTTAAACTATCCTATAAGTTATTTTATTTGTCAAATAAAGTGGACTGTTATTAAAAAACATGTTATGGAAAAATTTGGCATAAAATAAGTGAGATCCAGAAAGTCAAATACTTCTGAAAGATCGAGACTTTGTCAAATTAAAGAGGCCATTGTGTTTTCTGTAGACTTACCATGCCTCAACGCATATTTGTGGTGTTACAATAATTTCTTTTCCTTTAGGACGTGGACTAACCCTACTAACTAACTAAATTTTTGCTATGTTTCATATATTGGTTTTAGGTTAGGTTTTGTCCGCCTTTTATAAAGAGTGCGATATTAATACAACAGTTATAACCTAAAATACACTAAATGCGGGAACTTTTATTGATTCTAAACCGAAAATTACCAGGAAACATCAGCAAAATCTCGTCGAAATGTAGTTATATGTAGATTACGCTGTTCCAATCGAAACATTTCAAAGGGCGCCTACAAATTATGCAAAAAAAAAGGGCGAGAAATCGGGCTCGTGTTTTTCTTTTTACACGACCCCGGCCGGCTCCCGCCCGCCACCCTCCTAGCGTACGTTTGAACGTTCGGCCGACCTCGTCGCTCCCTCTTCCTTTGGCTTTTGATAAATGGTATTTTTCGTTTCCCGACACTCCGGATAAAAAGGGAATTTTCAATTCGGACCGGGAATTTACCCCTCCCGCCAACCACCCCGCCGCCACCGTTTACATCGAAAATATTATCTCCTGGTGGTGCGACGGGACGGGGGGTGGAGGGAGTCGGGATTCTACGTACAGCGATTTATCTTTATTTTCTCCCTATCGGAACAGGTCAAATTCGGTCTAATAGAAAAAAATCGCCCAAGAAATTTTAAACCAGCTGGCAACCGCGCAAAAAATGGAACGGTTTTGACGATATCACTTTTTCAGGTATGGCAGAACCAGTGATCTATCGAACTCATTAGTCAGCGTCAGCATATCTGACTTCAGTCTGAATTTCTGATAAAGTATTCAGATTTTCTTAGAAACAACAAAGATTTTGTGAAAAGCAAGTCATAATTTTTAAGAAACGTCTCGGGATATCGGACTTCAGTCGAAATTTCTGCGAAACAATTTAGAATTTCTGAGAAACGAGTAAAAATTTTTGCGAAACATTTTCTCCGAAAAGAGTCGGGATTTCCGAGAAACATGAAAAAATTTCTGCGAAACTTTTTTTTTAATTTTAATAATTTTTTACTATCTGAATGCGAGAGTTCGAATACAATTTTTGAAAATTGAGCTACCAACCGAATTCTGACACGTTTTTAATTTATTATTTGAAAAATTTGCAAACTATAATTTATAACTTATTGCTTATAATTTATAATTTGGGCAGTTTTCATTGAATTACCTGAACTAAAATAAACACGTCATATTTGTGAACTAAAAATTAAAAGTAGATGTGCAGTGACTTCCAACTCTTCTCAACTTGCTCCGTACAAAAAATGCATGAAAAAAAATTGGGAGAAAGTGAGGAAAGTGTATATTTTAGAAAATAGAACGCGATGGCACGAGCAATTGTTATAATCAAACGAATTTTTCAATTTTTATGACTTTACAAAGCAAGTAATTGATTAAAGAAAATGGATATTCGCTTTGTGACATTTTTTGCTATTATTTTTTAAAAATTGTTTTGAAATATGCCCCATACCCAAGGTCGCATAGTTGTATCGTATAATCGTATAAGGTATTCAGCAATAGATAATCTATTTATTTAGGAGGATGTGTACTTTAAATATTATCTCGGAGCTCCCAACTTTCACTAAAAGCTGCAAATTCTAAGACATATAAAATGAGCCAGACCCGTATAAACTTATCTCGAACCATCAGCATAAGTAATCAGGAAAACGATTACGTCGGGGTCGAAAGCTATAAAATAAACATTCTTTCAACTTTGCTTTAGAAACATGTCATCTATTTACAAACCTCCTGGATTCCTCCTGCGTCGTACGTCAAACTTGCTGACGTTTCGCCAATCATCTCGTCGGCATCTTCAGATCTAAACTGAAGTGGTTTTCATTTGCAGCTCTGAAGAAACCTACCGGATGATTGGCGAAAAAACTCGCATGTCCATTATTTTTCTATGATTCTAGAGGTAATGTTTTGCACTTTCCATTTCTGTTAATTAAAATGACGTCACTTTTTGTAGCCCCGCGCATCCGCCCAAATAACTCCGGGCCGGAACTTTGTGTAAACTTTGACGCGATAACAAAGGGGGAAGCCATTTTCCCCCTGCGTTTGTTTTAACGTCATAACAAACGGCGGTCGCTTTAAAATTTAAATGCAGTTTCAGTTTAGTTCGGGAACTGATGATGGCGATTACCCGACTTTGTCTAGCTGGCGGAGGTAATATATTCCGTCTCGAGGGGTAAAATCGCTTGCCTTCGCATTACTTCGCACGTACGGGGTGATTTACAAGTTTGTGACTCGTAGAAGATAAACGCCGCGCTTGTTGACCGAGCTCGATATCGAAAGAATTCCATCGGCAGAGTGCTAAAGGCCTATATCACAGAATAGTAACTGTTTTTATTGATTTAACTTCAATTAGACATTAAAAAAAAAAAATAAGACATGGGTGGGATTTCTAATAGAGCGAGTCGACAATCTCATAGCAATTTTATCGTCTAAATTAAAACATAGAATCGCTAGGCCTTCTGTTTCACTACACCATCTGGTAGTAGTGGGTCCTCTATCAGACATTTGTAGATAAGGAAGCCCAATCTCGGTGGTTCCTTATAGACAAAGAAAAATTCTTTCCACCTTTACAATTTCCAGATTGGAGGGCCATACCAGTTATCAGATGAGTAGTAGTAGTAGTAACTGGCGTTTCATCTGAAATGCGTAGATAAGGAAGACCAAACCCAGCAGTTCCTTCAAAATAGAGAAGAGTGATTTTCACGTTTTCACCTGGGTTGCAGCCACCAGGTACATCAGAACTCCCGCTGCTCAAATTTACACACAACTGCAGTAGCAATATATAAAAGAACAGTGCCCAATTGTTTCTTCACAATCAACTTCCACATTCTTCTACAAAAGGCAAATTTGCGCGAATTGTCCACCCCCTGAATTTTCCTCTCTCGTTATACGTCAACATTTAAATAGGCCATTTTTACCTATAAGTCGGGAACGTTTTCGCCGGTTCGGCTATTTTCATTTCGGTAACAATGTTTTCCTCCACGAAATGAGTTTCCGCCAAGCTC